CTCATCCCGCCCATCTCGGGCCTGGGCTCGGCCGCCCAAATGCTCTGTGTGGTCACCCAACGAATATGTACTGCGTGCCCACCGGTGCCGGGCACAGGAGCCATTGAAATGATTCCACAAGATAATAAAGAGAGAGCACTTGCCCCGGCCTCGCACACAGCAACCTCCGCGTGTGCCCGCTGCCCTGCGGGGGCTGTGGGTTTGCTGCAGGCACAGCTCAGCCAGGCACCGTGGGCCCGAGTGGAGCGAGGCTGCCCAGGCACTGCCTTCCCTGTGCAGGTGGATTTCCCCTCATCCCTGTCCTCCCTGATGGTACCTGCCCCACGTCAGGTGGAGCTAAAACACCCCTTAGCATCAGTGGGAGCCTGCCAGGCTGAGAAGGCGGCGATGTCCCAGCTCGCAGGGCCCCCTGAGGGCTGCGTGGCTCTGCAGCTGTTTGAGGGTCCAACCTACACATCCCCCCTTCATGGGCCTCCTGGGTCGGCCCTGGGAGGGCCTTGTGGAGAGGAGGCAGGTCTGAACAGCAGCCCCAGTAATCACATCTCCACACAGTGTGTCCTCAGTGGGTTCCAAGGAGCGCACTAAGCACTGAGTGGGGGGCCGGCACTGCCTACCTGTCCCTGTGGAACCCCAGAGCCCAGCCCACAGTAGGTGCTCAGTAAATGAGTGGGTGATGGTAAGAATAATCAGTAGTTACCTGTGCTCATTTATTCCCCGTGAGAACCCAGCTGGGAAGCCACCATAGTTATCCCATTTCACAGAGCAGGAAGTTGAGGTGCAAGGAGGTTGAAGACTTGCCCAAGGGAACCCACTGGCGAGAGATGCTCCTACCCACCATGCTAGGGCCCCAGGCGGTCAACAGGGGCTTCTCTGGAGGAGAGGGAGCTCAACAGGCTGCTGCGGCCCCAGAGGAAGGTTCTGGAGAGAATCTCTTCGTCACGGTGCCTCTGGCATTACCCACACTCATTGCTCCACACGCACTGACCAGGGGCCTGCGCTGAGTGAGGCACTGGGTGGGGCTGGGGCTGTGAGGGGAAGCCCAGAAATGGATTCTGGGGGGTCCTACACACAGCTGCTGCCACCAAGGCTGGTCTGTTCCCTCCCCAGGGGTCGTGAAGGTCAAGTGTGACCTCAGCAAGCCCTGCCCAGACAACTTCTTTGCGTTTAAAATCCTCAGCGGGGCGGCCAACGTCGTGGGCCCCTCCATATGCTTCGAAGGCCGCATGTAAGTACCAGAGGGACTCCTGTGTTTCGTTTCCTTTATTGCATTCATCCATTCATTCATTCATTCATTCGCTAATTCAGAGGCTGTGGGTGTAGGCCCTGAGGCCAGTCCACACCTTCCACACACTTCCTTTTACTCCGGGTGGGTGAGTCCCAAATACCAATAACCCTAATAGCTTCCCGGTCTGCCCGCACCTTGCTCAGTGCTCACAGCACCATCTCATCCAGCCCCCAACGCTCACAGCACCATCTCATCCAGCCCCCAAACGCTCCCAGCACCATCTCATCCAGCCCCCCAACACTCCCAGCACCATCTCATCCAGCCCCCCAACACTCCCACCACCATCTCATCCAGCCCCCAAACGCTCCCAGCACCATCTCATCCAGCCCCCCAACACTCCCACCACCATCTCATCCAGCCCCCAACACTCCCAGCACCATCTCATCCAGCCCCCAATACTCCCACCACCATCTCATCCAGCCCCCCAACACTCCCACCACCACCTCATCCAGCCCCCCAACACTCCCAGCACCATCTCATCCAGCCCCCAACGCTCCCAGCAGGAGGCTGCAGTTGTCCCCTTTGTAACGATGAGAAAATCGAGGGCCAGGCAGGGTCACGCTAACTGGTGGTGGAGGCAGGACTGGAACTCAGGGCTGTCTGACAGCCGCTTGCTGGGCTTCCCACGAAGGGAGATGCCTCTGAGGAGGATTCAAGATCGGGATCCAGGAGTCGACATCTGGACCCAGGAGGTGCCGGGACTTCCGGGTGCAAGAGAAAGCCCGGTGGTTCAGGCCCTGGGATGGCAAGCTCACCCGATGGAAGGAGCCCGAGGCAGGGCTTTCGCCAGGCTCTGAACCTGCTCCACGTGCTCAGGCAAAGCAAGGACCTCAGTGGGTAGTTCACATACCAAAAAGGCCAGAGGCAGTGGCTTCAGGGCCAGCTGCATCCAGGGGTTCAAACCATGTCATCAGGGCTCCCTCTCGCACGGTCGTCAGTTCTGCCTTCCTCACCGAAGACAGGCCTCGGTGTGTGGACAGCAGGGGGACCACAGCTGGTCCGCACATGGGCCCCAGCCAGCACCCCACGGGGGAGAGAGCTTTCCATCCGAATTGCCCCGTAAGGGTCCCCAGGGCGCTGGCTGTGCCTGGCCAGCCCTGTGGCCAGAGGCACAGGGTGCTCTGCTGTTTAGGCCTGGGAGGGAGGGTGGCCCTGAGAACCAGCGGCCTGAGATGGAGGCCAGTGCTCCCAAGGACACCACAGACAGGAGTGGGGACCCTGGGCCCTTTTCTCTGAGCAGACTGCTCTGGTCCGGACAAGCCCCGAGTGGCTCCTCGAGAACCCAGCCCACCGCCCGGGTCCCGGAGGAAACATGGCCTGAATCCTGCCGGGCACTGCCTGTTGCTCTGCCTCGCACCACGTGGGCGTGTCCGAGTCCCGAGTCCGGGAGCAGTTCATTCCACACCGGGACCCACTGTCGCGTTTTGTTTTCCTTTTCTTCCTCAGGATCATGAGTCCTGTGAAAGACAACGTGGGCAGAGGCCTGAACATCGCCCTGGTGAACGGTGAGTTGCTGACCACCCCTCAGACAGCCCCCACTGTGGGGGAATGTGGGGGGGATGTGGGGGGCGCTGGGTGCATTCATTCACTTACTGCCACATGCCCTGGGTCGTCCGTGGTGTCAGGCAGGGAGGCCTGGCGGGCCTGTGGGGACAGAAGGTATGAAAGGCCTGGTCCTGCCGCAGCCCTGGCCGGGCCCTGCCGGGTGTGCCTGTCCCAGGAGACATGCTTCTCCCTGGGGTTTAAACCAACACCATGAGGCCATGAGAGACAACGATGGCAACATGAGATCATGGCTGGGTGCACACTTTCATTCATTTATTGAGCCATGTCAACAGCAGCTGTGGTGGTGGGCCAGGCCCTGCCCAGAGCACTGGGGGCGGGGGGGGGGGGGGGGAGGGGGGGCGGCAGGTCCTCCCTGGCTTCACAGCCCCTGCAGTGTGCATGAAGTTCACACACAGCCGCAGTGTGGGAGCGTCTGTGGAGCCGGAAGCACAGAGCTGGGGCAGGGCCATTGGGGAGGTGAGGTGATGGTCAGCTGCGGCCTGAAGGAGGGTAGGGTGCCCGGGAGGAAAGCAGGGAGGCTCCTCCCAGGCAGGGGCCGCACCGCACTGTGCAGGGCGCAGGGAGGCGAGGAGGGAGGGAAGGGTGGGGGTCTCTCTGGCTGCACCAGAGACAGGCAGCGGTGGGCGGCGAGGCTGCAGAGGCCGCAGAGCCAGAGGGTGAGGGGCTGTGTGTCCCACTAAAAAGTGTGGCTTGAAGCAGAGGGCAGTGAGCGACCTCAGGAAGGCTTTGAGCAGAGCATGAGGCCCAGCCCTGCATTCCAGAAACTTCTCTCCTACCTGAAGTGGGGGGGGGCTGGAGGCAGGGAGACCCAGAGGAGGGCCTGTATCACTGACCCTGCTTCTCCAACAGGCGATGAACGGGAGGCCAATGGCAGGCCAAGCCTGAAACGGGGACACATTTCAGGAGGGGGTTTGTTTATGGGATTCGAGTCCGGACCAGGTGGTCTGGCCCCAGCCAAGACCCCCCGCTCTGCCTTCAGCTCCTAGATGGGGAACATGGGCCAGTTCCCTGGATCTAAGAGCCACTTCCTGGGACAAAGGGCAGGGCAGGGGGGAAAGGGCACTGTGGGCGCTTAGGAGGGGAAAGGTCAAGCTGTGTGTGGCATGTGACCACCCTCCCGCACTTGGGATGTGGCGGGGTAAGACTGGAAGTTCTAGAGGTGCATTTCCCCAGGGGCCTTGCCAGAGCCTGACAACTCCCTGGAAGCTGAGGAAGGGTGGGGGCTGGGAGGGTAGGAGGCCAAGAGGTGGGTCTCCCCCAAAGTCTTAAGGAGAGAGCAGCCTGATTGACTCCAGTGGTGGCCCTGCCTGGAGGGAGGGTGTGCAGGCCGCTGGGACTGGTCTCAGAGCCCCTTCAGGCTGCAGAAAATGCTCCGGCCGCAGCTGACCAGGCTGGAACCTGCTGGTGTTCTCTCCCCCCAACTGGGCCCCTGCCCGAGAAGACCTCTCAAAAAGTCTCTGATGACAGGGGCTCAGACTGGGGCCTCCTTCCTCACCCCTCACAAAGTCCAAAGACAAAAACAACTATCAGCAATAGTAAAAGCTAACGTTTAGTGAGCATTTACTACGTGCTCGCTATTCCATTTAACCCCATCACCATGCTGGAATGGCACGATGCTCAGTGTCCCCATGCTCCAGGTGAACAGTGACGCTCAGAGAGGTTAGGCGACTTGCCCAAGGTTGCACAGCCAATAGCATCATCTAGATTTTAACCCGTATCTGGCTGGCTCCAGGTCTGAATCACTCAACTGAACTACCTCCCTAGACTAGAACTGTCTCCAAGCATGTATGCAGCACCTACTGTATGCCGGCTCTGCGCCAGTCCAAGGAATCAGTCCTCAGGGCCAGGGCCTCCTCTGTACAATGAGCCAGAACAACACAAGGATTGTTAAAGGTTGGTGCTTTGCAACCTTTTAGGAACTGTTCAAACTATATCTCCTCCCTCTGATTCCAAAACATTCCATAAATGCCCGTGGTCTCAGTTGAACAGGGTCACATTCCCCTTCCAAGAGGCCCAGGTGAAGTGGCCCAGGGGCTTGGACATCAGTGGCTGGAAGAATCCGGGAGGAGCGGCAATGTGAGCTCCCTCCCCCACCCCACCCTCCACCCAGCGGGAGACCCTTCACTACCAGGGCCCAGCCCACCCTCTTCAGGAATCCTGGACCTCCTATTGGGTGGTAAGGGGGAAGGACCCCGGCGAGACTCGAGAGATGCCATCCCCTCTGCAACATCTCCATCTAGTGGCACCGAGCGAGACTGTGCGTTTCCTCCAGAGCACACGGTTCTCCGTGGGTCTTGGACCCTTTGCAAAACTCACAACACGCAACTGAGATTACTGAGCTCAGGACACCGAGTTCCGTTCAGCAAATCCCTTTCCCTTCAAGAGTCAGAGGACTCCAATTGCAGAGCTCCGACGTAGGTGGGAATAAAGACGGCAATTGTGGTTCTTTTCATGACTAGTTTGTAGCTAACTTGTATCTTGTGTGCTATCTACTGTAAAGACATCTTATTTAGTTCCCAAAGCCCATTGTTCAGATGAGGTCAGAATGCTCATGGTGCATTAGGAAGGGGAGAGGCAGAACACAGTCCCAGATCGGTGGAATTCTGTTCGAACCCAGAGACCCTCCTCCATTATATTGTACCACTCACATCAGCCCAGGCGTTACGGGGCATCTTCTTAGTCCCGCATGCTTTCTACGGGACCTGGTTCTGTTCCATTATTATTCTATCTTTAGACCTTAGACTAAAAAGTACTCATTTTCCACCAAATGACAGGCAGAACGACACAGTCCAGCAAGTAACCGTTCTGCTCTCTCACCCCTCAGGAACCTCGGGGCAGGTGCTGAGGCAGGCCAGCTTCGACATGTACTCCGGAGGTACGTGGGCACCTCTGTTGGCAATGAGGTCACGGGTGGGCTGAGCTCCTTCCTGTGGCGAAAGAGCTATCGGGGTGCCGGGGTGGGGGGGCGGCTCTTGTTTCCACAGAAGACACCCAGAAGGAGGCGTGGTGGGGGTTCACGCCGTCCTGCGGCCTTTGAAACGTGGTGATCTCAAACAGTGTCAGTGGAGAAGTGAGGCGGGGAAGGGAAAGCAGGCAGCACAGTATGTTATCAAGCGATTGAACACGGCAGGCAACTGGACCTCAGGGGACAGTGTCGAACACACACCTCAGAGATGTCCCGGTGGGGCCAGGGAGCTGGGGGCTCCCACCCCTCTTTCCGGGGCACTTCCACACTCTGGCCTGCCCCAGGGTGCGAAAGAGAATATGGAGGCCAGAGAAGACCTTCCGGCAAAGACGTGCTCGGGCTGGAGTTGCAGGCCAGGCATGTGTGCAGCCAACGGGCTCAGAACGAGGTATAGGGCCCAGTTTGCTCTGCTAGAGAACGAGGTATAGGGCCCAGTTTGCTCGGGTCCTTAGTGGGCGAGGCCTCCTGGGCCCAGAAAGGACAGCTGTGAGGCGCCCGGCTGTCTTTCCGCAGCGTCTTCTCTTCTCTCTCTGCGCAGACATGCTTGCTGAGCTTCTCTGTGCACAGGCCACCCCCTAGGAAGTCACAGTCCTCCTTGCCCTGAGCAAAGCCAGGCCCCTGCGCAAATTGCTCCATATCCAGAGAGCCGTCTGCATTATTAGAATTTTCCTTTAAATTGTGTCACTTTTCTAATCTAAATAAACTAGAAGCCTGATGCACGAAATTCGTGCCAGGGGCTCAGCCCCCACCACCGCAGCGGCTGCTTCTGCCTCGGCCCCCACAGCTTCGTCCAGAAGGTCGTCTGGAAGGACATCCGGAAGGGCGTCCGGTCTAATTAGCATATTATGCTTTTATTATTAAAAGGAAATTATGTCATTGCCCTGAGTAGAAAGATATTGTTGCTGTTTTGGTCACAAAAGTAAGCACAACAGGAACAAATCAGTGTCCTTGAAGGAAGCAGGGAGCAGATGCCCCCGTCGGCCCCAGCCCAGCCCGCGCCGAGGCCTGCCCGGGGTCAGATGTCAGATGCAGCGATTTCACAGTGCAGGGAGGCGATGAAGGTGCAAATGGGACGGGACCCCTTCCTTGATGTGAACTGGAGAGTTGTAGGAGCCTAAGTTCTCCCTCTGTGACCCCAGTTACCTGCAGGCCAGTGGGTGTGCCCTCCAAGGAAATCCAAATCACTGACTCAGGAAGACATATGCGCCCTCAGGTTCACTGCAGCATTGTTTACAACAGCCGAGACAGAGAAGCAACCTAGTGTCCATCAATAGGTAAACAGTTCAAGAAGATGTGATTGTTACATTGAGATATTACTCAGTGAAATATTACTCAGCCGTAAAAAAGAATGAAATCTTACTATTTGTGACAACATGGATGGACCTACAGGATATTATGCCAAATGAAATAAGTCAGACTGAGGAGAATACCGTATGATTTCACTTATGCCAGTATAGAGAATCTAAAAACAAACAAAAAACAGAAACAGACTCACAGACACAAAGAAAAGCTGATGGTTTTCGGGGCGGGGGGCGGGGAGGGGGAGAGGAGGAGGTAGGGAGGGATAGGATGGCTGAAAATGGTGCCAGGAAAGAAGTTTATGACTTCTAGTTATAAAATAAGTGAGTCACAGGGGTGCAATGCACTGCTCAGGGAATATAGTCAATAATATTGTAGTAACTTTGTATGGTGACAAATGGTTACTTACTACTTATCGTGGTATCACTTCATAAGGTATATAAATGTCAAATCACTGTGTTGTACATGTGAAACTAATATAATATTATATGTTAACTATACTTATTTTAAAAAATTAAGTCAGTCCAGACAAGCTAGGCTCTTAGCCACTGTAGAAGGGGGTGTTGGGGGTGTCCAAAGAGCCCCGAGTTCCTGAGAGTCGACTGACCTCTGTCCCCCAGTGGAAGTCCCCAGGCCCTTCCACCAGTAGTTCTCTCCCCAGCTGCACATCAGAATCACCTGGAAACATGCAAATTCCATAACCGGGGCCCAGACCACCTGAGCGAGGGCTCCCTCACCCCTCCTGGCGGGAGCACCACCCAGGAGGCCGCCTCCTGCTGGGCCCTCAGCTGCCCGGGCCACTCCTGGGTCATCAGGACGGTAGGTGGGAGTGAGAATGGCCAGCGATATTTCCCTTGTTTTCCTTGCTCCCCCAGACCCTGAGCTCCTGGTGAAATTCCTTAAAGCAATTCCAGAGGACGTGCTGGTGCTAGTGGCCTCCTACGATGACGCGGGGACCAAGTAAGTGGGGACCTCCACCTGCTGGGGGGAAGGGAGCCAAAACCTCCCTGCCCTTTCTCGCCCCCCACCAGCCCCGTCTTCTGGCAACTTCTCCTAAGGAAATAGCCAGACAAGCGCATAGAGATGGTCTACGAAGTTCATTGCAGCCTTGGGTACAACCGTGACGAACGGGACACATAGTTACAGAAATCATGACATGTGGTGACATATGACAGGTTTCTATAAATACCTAGGAGGCTATACTGCATCAAAGATGGTGATGTAGAAAACAGCTAAGGACATGGAGGAATACTCATCCTGTAGTGCTTTTTATTTTATGTTTGATTGCAGTTTGCATTCAACACTGTTTAGTCTTAGCTTCAGGAGTTCATCCCTGAGCATTAAGTAGGGGGGAAGCTGGTTACAAAAGAGTTGGTATAATCCCCCAAAACATGGGGGAAAGGACATGAAGGAAATACATTAAAATTTTACAATGGTGGTGTCAAGAGGGTGAGGCTGTAAGTCATTTTTGTTACTTTGTGATGTTCCGTATTTTCCGAACAAACACGGATTGCATTTGTAAACAGAAGTCAACCGTTCTAACACCTCCCAGCTCCCCCAGGGGCCTTGGGGGAGGAGTCCCGCCCCGCCCAGCCCCACCCCATCCCCCCCTGCTCCTCCTGGCGACTGGCCTCCTGTGCTCCCCCTTCTCCGGGCCGCGCTGACGCCCTCTCTGTCCTCTGCAGGATGAATGATGAACTCCGGAAGCTCTTCACCAACTTGGGCAGCTCCTACGTGAAGCAGCTGGGCTTCCGGGACAGCTGGGTCTTCCTGGGGGCCAGAGACATCAGTAACAAAAGCCCCTTTGAGCAGGTGGGTTCCTGGCGACTCCCGTCCCAGGGAGTGAGGGGCAGGGCCTGGATGGATGGACAGGCCGGGGTGGCTTGGGAAGGACACAGGGTAGTGTGGGGAGGGCCACTGGGCTGTCATCCACCCCAGAGGTCAGGATGGCCTGATGGGCTCGCCCCAGAAGGACGTGGTCTGGGCCACTTTGCCAGGATATATATAAATTCCTAGGCACGTGGATGAGCACCAACGAGGAGGGGGAGGAGAAAAGAAGGGTACCAGGCAAGTGAGGCCTGGAAGAAAGAGAAATGGATGGAGAGACACAGTCTGCCTGGTGTGGGGAGGGGAGCCCAGCACAGGGGTCAGGATGCCTGGCTTCAGGTCCCCCCTTAGCCAAGCCCCTCCTCCCAGGCCTCAGTATCCCCACCTGTGAAGGGGAGGGTTTGGACCAGGGGAGCCTGAGGCCCCTTCTGAGTTGCCTGTGGACAGGGAACCTTGCACCAATTAGGGGACTCGGGGGAGCCCACCTGAGTATGTGGGAGGAGTCAGGAGGGGTCCCCCATAAAGGATCCACGGTCATTTCCTGGGGTGGCCCAAGGAGAGGGGGTCAGGGAGGCCCCCAGAGGTGGAGTTTAAGGAGCACTCATAGGAAGGGGGGGGTCAACAGACGGTGGGGGGGGGGGGCCAGGGAAATGCTTCTTCTTCTCCCCTTGTCCAAGGCATCCCCATCTGTGCATCCCCTGCCCAGACAACTCGGAAACCTGAGGGACTGGCCAAGCCTTCCCAGTGGTGATGAGAACGCTCAGCCTGCCCAGCTCCAAGACGGGGGGCTAAGGTCAATGATTCAGACATGTAGGGCCACTGAGGGGCACGGACTCTGTCCTGGGGGCAGCGGGGAGCCATGGGAAGCTTAAGAGGGAGAGTGACAAGAGCAGATTGATCATAAGAAAGCCTAGCATTCAGCCACCACTTGCTCTGTGCAGGCACCGGAGCAAGTCTCCCCAGGGTCCTATGCTACAGCCACCATGAGGTGGGTACAGTTATCCTCACGGAGGAGGATCCAGAGCCTTGGAGAGGCTTTAGTGAGCCAGGTGGATTTCTCATC